GTGCTTAGTGGCTTAAAACAATAACTTATTTAGCTCCAATGCATTTGGTCAGTAATTGGAGCTCGGCTCAGCTGGATTATTCTGGTCTTGGCTGGGCTTATTCAAGTGAATGTGGACAGCTTCTGGGACAACCAGAGCTAGCCAGTCTAGGATAACCTCGGGACATCTAGGATGGGATGTTCACATCTCCACATAGTCACTCATCTTTCAGCAACCTGGGCTTTTCATATGGCAGCTGATAGGAAGAAGAGCTCTAGGCAGGAGAGTGGAGGTGTGTAAGGCTTCCACCAATAATGCAGGTCAGAAGTGATAAAGCTGGGCCTGGCATTTAGCTCAGTGACATAAGTGCCTGCCTGGCAAGTGCAAGGTAATAAGTTCCATCTCCAGTACTAAAAAAAATAAAAAATAAGTAAAATAAAATAAAAGTGATAAGCTTAACCTAAACTATACAGATAGAAAAATGGGTCCCACTTTTTGATGAGAAAAGTTGCATAGCAAAAGGACTTGCTAAAGGAAAGAGTAGAGAGAACTGTGACCACTTTTTCAATCTTTCTAAGACAGCCAATCAGTAAACATGTATGCAAGCAAACTAATCACCTCATACTGAGGTTTAAAATTTAACTCATGGCCTTCTTAAATCTCCATCTGGATTCAGTATGCTTTGTCTTCATTTGCATAAGTTTTAGAGAAACGTCGTACTGGCCTTTGTTTCATTTTGTGTTTTAAAGAGAATGATATTTTTTTTGGCCCTCAAAAACTATTTAATGCCGGGGGTTTAGCTTAGCGGCATAAGTGCCTGCCCTGGCAAGCACAAGGTCATGAACTCGATCCCCAGTACCAAAACAAACAAAACAACAACAACAACAACAAACCACTTAATGACTGTGTGAGCAAGCTTGTTGACCCTAGGAATCCAGAAGTGAGTGGAGAACACAGATCCCGTCATCAAAGATGACTGAGGTTCCATTTCTTTATTTATAAGAACTTTGTATGTCTTTACCTCAGAGAGTAAAATTACATGTACTTTGTAATTATATATAATTGGTGTATTATTTATTGTGTGTATGTTTAAAGAATGTTGCGTGTGTGTGTGTGTGTGTGTGTGTGTGTGTGTGTGTGTGTGTATAGAGAGAGAGGAAGAAACTGAGGTAAATGTGCAAGTTTAAAAATAATTTACTATAATAAAAAGTTGTAGTAAGGGTTTACAAGGGAATGTATTTCATACAGGTCATATAATTTATAGATTATTTTATAGTATTCACCCAAAGGGTCAAAAGGAACACAGTGTGGGATATCTGTTTGCATATTAGAGACCCAAAGAATCCAGCTGAGCTGAGGGCCTGGATCCCATGGCAATGTCCTGCACAAGTCCTGCACAAGACCTTGAACCCTGGGGATTTAGTTCAGTGGCATAAGCACCAGCCTTGCAAGTGTGTGGTCGTGAGTTCGATCCCCGGTACCGATAAAAAAAAAAAAAAAGACCTTGAACCCAGAGCAATGTTCTTCTTGATTCCAACTGGAGGTAGAGCCCATGACAGTGTCTCAATCTGCACTGGGAAGGCCCAAAGGTCAGTGGTAGGAGCTAGAGAGTCTGTGTCAGTGGGATGAAGAATCTATGCCAAAAGGCTGAGGAATCTACACTGGAGCCAGGCAGTGATACTCAAAGTAAGGACAAGAGTTCTGTTCTGTAATTAATGGCTATTTAAATTTGTTTCCAATTTTGTGGTTAATATGAAATTTCTGTAGATGGATTTTGGCACTCATGCACATATTACTGATGAGTGTATATATAAAAGTAGAATTGCTGTCATGGAGCACCCGTATGTTTAATTTTAGTAGAAATGTCCAGTTTTCTGTAGTATTTGTACCAGTTCATACTCCACTAACAGTGCTTCATATGCTGGTTAATACATATTATCAGTCTGTTTAATGTTATTGTTGTGCTATACAGTGGCATTTCATTATGACTGCAATTAGCGTTTCTCTCATATTAGTGAGATGGCTCAACTCTACACATTTAATGGCTATTTAGATATCTTTTTGGTGATGTGCCAGTTCAAGCATTTTACCAACTTATCTGTGCTTTGTCTATTTACTATTGATTTGCAGGAGTATATTTAAAATTCTAGAAACAAGTCCTTTGCGGACCATATTGTATTGCCAGTATCTCCTCCAATTCTATGCCTCTTTTTATGGTGGCTTTTGATGAACAGAAGTTTTAATCTTGATGTAGTCCAGGTATCTATCCTTGTGCCAATACACAACCTTAAAAGTAATCTAGTTTTATGAAATTTTATAGTATGTGTCCTCCAAGGTTTTTCTTAAGATTACTTTATCTATCTTTAGCCTATTACATTTCCAAAAAGGTTAGCATGGGCTTGCTAATTGAAAATTTTTTTTAGAACGCAATTAAATCTATATGGATCAGCTGGACACAGTGATACACACCTGTACCACTTTAAAGACTGAGGCAGGAGAATTGTAGGTTTAATCCTTACCCACACAACTTAGCCAGAGTTTGTCTCAAAATAAAAAATGAATAAAGAACTGGGGATGTAGGTCAGTTGGAAGACCCTGATTAAACTCCCTGTACTAAACCATGAAACTCAGCTGGCGGCTGGGGTGACTCTCAGCGCCATCCCGAGCCCCAGGAGACGTTAAGATCCTCGCTCCCCGGGCTGGGGATTTAGCTCAGCGGCATAAGCCCCTGCCTTGTAAGCAGGCAGTCATGAGTTTGATCCCTGGTACCCATAAAAAAGGAAAAAGACAAATAAAATAAAATAAAATAAAATAAAAAAACAAAGATCATCGCTCCCAGAGCTCAAGGACCTGCCCAGATCCCAGCTACACTAGGCTGCACTGGGCAGGTTTCAGGCCTGCCCAGGCCACACCCAGTGACCTTCTTTCACACAGGGAAACTCAGCTAGCGGCTAGGGTAAGTCCAAGCGTCATCCTGAGTCCTGAAAGACTTTAAGATCATTGCTGCCAGTGCTCAAGGACCCGCCCAGCTCCCAGTCACACTAGACTAGCCTTGAGAGGTTTTGTGGACCGACTATATTATGCCCAGCAACCTTTTTCAAGTACGGGAGTTGAGAGCAGGTGAAGTGAGTTCCAGGGCATTGGTCTTTGCCTGGGGAGAGCTTTAGCCCATCATCCACATTGGTTAGGTGCCTACCCAGCTACCTGGAACACTGAAGGTGGCACGGGAGGGCCTGAGGGCCTGACTGGACCACGCTCAGCAACCTCCATTCAGTCCCAAGAGCCTAGGGCATAAGAAACGATTTCTAATACATCCAGGGGAAGCCTTGGAACAACACTTGAAACACAGAAATATAGGAAAATGACAAAACAAAAGACCAAAATGCAATCTCAAACTTCCAGCCCATCCCAAGAAAGCCTAGGAGCCATGTACAAAGAAAATATACGCCATACACCTGAAATACCTATAATAATAGCAACTGAAATAAAGAAGCAACTCCAGGAAGCTTAAAGGAATTCAAATTAGAAATAATTTCCCAGGTAAAAGAAGAAATGAGAAAAGTAATGAAAGAGATGCTGAACACATCTAAAGAAGACACAGTTAAAAAATTAAAGGAACAAAACAAAAAGATAGAATCCCTGGATGAATAATTTAAGAAACAAACAGAATACATGAAGCAGATTCAAAGAAATATACAGGAAATCAAAAATTCCATTGAAAGTTGTCAAAACCAACTCAGTGAAAGTGAAGATAGAATTTCAGACCTTGAAGACAAATTGCAGCTAGTGAACAGGAAAGGAAAGATCTTTTAAAAAAAAACAAGTAATCAGGAAATAACAATTCAACAGCTGATGATTCAAAGATGATGCAAAGAAAAACGACATAATTGATAGGGATAAATGAAAAAGAAGGGAACAACACAAATGATATCAAGAGGTTATTTACAGAAGTAATAGCTGGAAATTTCTCAAACATGAGAATGGAAACTGACATTAGGATTAGTGAAGTATATAGAACTCCAAATGGCCATAACCAAAATAAAACTACACCCAGACATATAATAGACTCCCTGTACTGCAAGAAAAAAAAATTTACATAAATCATTTGGGGCAGATGTGAAAATTTTGAGCCTCCCATTACACTTTCTTCATTTATTTAAGTCTTATTTTGCTCAATTCTGCTCAATATTTTGTACATTCCACATCAAAGTCTTACAACCTTTTTTGTTAAATTTAGTTTAATTTAGGTTTTTTTTTTTTTTTAAGTTTCTTTGAGACACAGTCTGGCTGTGTAGTCCAGGCTGATCTTAAACTCACTATGTGGTCCAAGCTGACCTCAAACTCATGGCAGTCTTCCTGCTTCAGCTGACTAAGTGCTGGGATTACAGGCATGCAGCACCACACACAATTAGGTATTTGATATTTTTATGCTATTATACAGCATTCTTTAAATGTTTTGCTTTCTGTTTATTGCTAATATGTAGAAATATAATTGATGTTTATATTTAATGTGAGTGCAGTATCCTTGATAAACTCATATATTCATTGCAATGGTTTATATATACATTCTTTGGGTTACCTATGATTCATACGTAATTCTGTTCCAGTCTTTGTGCTTTTCATTTTGTTTATTAAAAAAAAGAAACAAAAAAAGGGGCTGGGGATTTAGCTCAACAGCATAAGCTCCTGACTTGCAAGTGTGCAGTTGTGAGTTTGATTCCCTGGTACTGATAAAAAAGAAAAAGACCAAAAAAAAAAAAAAAAAAAAAAAAGCAAAACAGAAAAAGGGTAGAAATGATACAGAATTTTTAAAAAATAACATTAAGAAATCATCACTAGTTGATATATTACATATTGCTATCTCAGAAGTAGTTATTCAAATTACAAAAAGTATAAAAATGAACAAACAATGGAACTATGGCAGCACAAACTATTCTGTTGGATGAATTCATTTCTTTTTCTGGTTCCGAACTGACTCTGTGCCTTTGGATCTAATGAGGTTTCTCCCTCCTTCCTTCCAGATGAGGCTGAGGCCCATATTGACTATGAGGATAATTTCCCAGATGACAGGTCTGTGTCATTCAGAGAGCTCATGGAAGATTCCCGTTCAGTGATAGAAGAGGACAAAGGTCAGACAGAAGCCTCTGAAGAGGCACCAAAACAAGACCGTCTGGTCTCCATTTCAGTGAGGAAAGAAAATATTGCCCGACATAAACCTTTTGTTCCAAACACAGGCTTGCCTGGCACCAGACGCGCTGTTCCCACAGACTTGCCAAAATCCCAGCTAAACCAAAAGTACTTGTTGTGGCTTCCTGCTGAGACTTTCCACAAGCCTGATGTGGAAAGGGATGTTGGTGATAATAGCCAAAAGCAGTTTCCTGCTGGAGACAACCACAGAACAGTGAAACTGGTCCCGAGTGAACCTGAAACCAGGTCCCGGGTGACCTACGGCAGCACTGACGGACCCTTGGGGTCATCTGTAGACAGGAATGACAGCAAAGCAGCGGCCCTGGTGGGGAGCAGCAGTGATGAGTCCTGGTTAGATGGCTACCCTGTGACTGACAGGGCTTGGAGGAAGGCAGAGGCAGAAGAGGAGGACGATGGAGACAAGGGGCCTGGGTCAGTCAGACTGGATGACAGCGTTCTGGTGACCCCTGACCAGCCAGCTCTTATGGAAGTTAAAATGCCCAAAAGTACCACCCTCACCCCTGGCAAGGTCATGACGCATACTTCAGTTGTTCCCTCTGAAGTGCTAGATGTGGAAGTTTTGGCTCTCAGGCCCACGAATGTGTCCGAGACTGAAGGTCCTCAGGACAGCGATGATGCCTTGACCAAACACCAGTCAACTGTACCTTGGAGATTCACCACAGAGAAGTCACTCATGGCCACTCCACCCTGTGAACTCACCAATTCTACCCTAAAGATGGAAACACCAACTGCTCTCCAGCAGATGACCAGCAACGTCCCCTCCACCAGCACAGCAGCCAGTCAGCTTCCAGTGGAAACCGCTGCTCCTGAGGTCCGGGATAGCTTCCCATACCTTCTGTCTAAGGACTTCTTGGGACAGGAGGGCCCTGGGCCAGCTGCAAGTGAAGAGGAGCTCCTTCCAACCTTGAAGCCGTGTGTGGGGGACGAGTGTCGTAGCCTCAGCAGAGGCCCCGTGATTGCCACCGTTGTCACTGTCCTATGCCTGCTGCTGGTTCTGGTGAGTGTGGGGGCCGTGTGGGTTTACCGCAGGTGCCAGCACAAGACTTCTGTGTACAAGCTGAATGTGGGCCAGCGGCCAGTTCGGCACTACCAGCAGCAGATTGAGATGGAGAAGGTCTAGTCCCTGCCACAGTGGGCTCTCTCAAAGCCACTGCAGCACACTGAGAAACCCTGATAACTCATAACAGCACAGGTGGAGCAGGGCTGGTCTGTTTCTTCTCAGGTTTGTGTTCTGTCAGCTAAGAAGCAGCTCAAGGCACCCAGCGAGGCAGGCAGGTTTCAGTGGCATCAGCACATGTGTCAGTGTCTTCTCTCCATCTGCCTGGAATTGATTGCACTAACTCCAGACCCAGACCCTAATTCTGATATAAGGTCTTCTCTTCCATTGTCAAGATGTTGCTCTCTTTTCCTTTTTTAAGAAAGAAAATCAGACTCTGATTCTATGTCCTGAAATGTTTGAAACAGGTTTGGTAAACTGAGTGTTTGAAAGCAATGTTATTGAAAGCATAAATGTTAATTGCGGAAGTGGGGGCACAGAAGAACGATGGGTTACTTGCTTTAAAAATTGTGTTATCTTAGGGGCCAGGAATTTAGCTCAGTGGTGTGAACGCCTGCCTGGCAAGTGTAAGGTTGTGAGTTTGATCCCCTGTGCCAAAAAAAAAAAAAGCAAACAAGTAAAATTATGTTGTCCTTGAGGGTAAGTGAGCCAGGAGTCAGGACACAGTCCACAAACTTGGAGATGTCTATAATTTTCAGGTTGATGTTTTGCTCTGGGGAGGTGAGGAGTGAAGACACACACCCACCTTTTCTCCCTCCATTCTGTGGGACAGCCCAGGATTTTTTAAAAACAAGGCAAGCTTTGTACCAGTAAGGGCTATTTCCTCTAGTTGTCTTTGACTAGTCTGTGCCTAAAACTGTCTTGAAATTTCTGCCAGGACTAACAAAATTCAATCCTTAGGTTCCTCCCTCAGGATTAACCATTTCTCCAAGCTCTAGTAGAGCAGAAAGACATGGAGGAAAAAATGTTTGAAGAAGGCCCAAGACTAGAGTACCTTGATAAAGAATTGAAAGGCAGTGTGAAATGATCCATGTTGATCTATTTTTTTACTCATGGGAAAGAGTCCAGCCCAGCACCTAGACCATCTAGTTCATGGTGGCTCAACATTGCTTATGACAGTGGCTCTCAAAGCTCCCAAACCACCAACATCAGTGTCACCTAGAAACTAGTTGGAGATGCAAATTCTCCTATCCTATCCCAGGCTTAGGAAACAGCACCCCTGGGGGTGGAGCCCAGTGCTCTCAAAGTGGAGAGCCATTGGTTTATACCCTACACTGTAAACTTTGAGGCCAGCTGAAGCACTGGAGGATAAGACAGATGACACCCACGGTCTGTCTTGCATGAAAGTCGGGCTCTGCCACTTGCATCTAAGGCACTGTTGAAGCTGCCAAAACACCACCTCCAACAGCCTCTCATATGTTGACCCAGAAAATAAACATGCCACATTTTTCTATTATCAATCAGAATTCATTTTCTAGTCAAATAGTTTTCAGTGGTAAAATTGAAGACATTGCATTTCCTTCGAGTTTTTGTGTGGTATGAGAGAAATCTTGATTTTTAAAATTACATGTAATTGGAAAATTGGTGGTGTTCTACATAAAGAGAAAGGAATTCTTGCAGCACATTTCCTACCCTGACACCTCTTTTCAGTGCAAGCTTTGGAAAGCTAATAGGCTAAGTAGCTTTTAAGACAGTACAGCATAGTCAAAGATCTTAATTTCCAAAATTGGGTAATACAAAGGCCTGAAGTTATCAACTGGAATACCTATGCATTAGATGAAATTTAAAACAGTAGGAATGAAATGTTTTCTGCATGTACCAAAGCTTCAAAACAGAACAGAATAAGAGCCAGAAACTGTATATAATTTTTAAATTAGATTGGAATCTATTACAAGATAACTTTTTGATTTTAACTATATAAAACAACTTGTGTCGACATTAGGACTGTTAGTAAGTATTGTGTAATAGTCTAGAACATTGAATTTATACCAAAACATAAACAGGCAATATCAGTACAAATATACTAATGAATTTATTACAAATTATTAATACATGTGAATGTGTTACATTGTAGATCTGGACTGTAAAGTAAACCTAACACATCCATTTTTAAGTTTTTATTGATTTGGTGTTGCATAAATTAATGTTATAGGATCTAAAAATGTGTGTCAAAATGGAATGATTAAAACACTGTAAACCTAAACTATACGTCATTATGCACATTTGAAGACTGGTAAAAGTTTAATGCTTAAAAACTGAGGGGGAAAGGACTTCATTAACACAAAGCTTCTGATAACATTTTAATAAATATTTCCCCAAATATTGCTGAATCTCTTATTTCTGAGTTACTGCACCATGATTATTCTTTAAGGATCCCCTAGCACCTTGAAAATAATACCTTAACATGTGTTATACTTAATTACCCTCTGTAAACCTGTTAGCCATGTTACTTACTGCAGCAGGACTTCGGGGACCTCCTATCCTTCTTCTCTCCCTTTTCCTTATCCCAGTCATAGTGGAGCAACCCAGGACCAGGCTATGCAGCGAGTGATTCCTGCACCAGTAGCATGGACGCTCCCCATTGGAGCATGGTAAACCTGCAGAATCTCAGACCCAGCCCTGGACCTGCTGCATCAAAGCCTACAGCTCCAAGACATCAGTCTCACTTCCTCTCCTTTATGTACTTGTACCTCTGTGACCACCAGGGCACACTCCTAAGCCTCCCACATTGTGGACACTATTGCCAGCCCTCCAAAATCTCCTTCACTAGGCAGGTGAACCCATTTCCCAGCTGCCCTGAGTGTCCACTGCTAAAATACTCCTAAGCACTGAAGTGTATTCTGCTGACACACAGTACTGCCTTCACCCAGGAAGTGAGAGCAATCCTGACACTGCTAGACTAGTTGCCGTGGGGGTACAAAACGCCAGCCTCCTTGCCTTGAAGGGAGCCCAGCGCCTGGCTACAGAGCTCCAAGATCAGACTGAAGCCGCTGCTTTCTTCCTTTCCTTTCGGTTGGTAGTTCTGGGGAGCAAACCCAGAGCCTCCCATACTCTAGCCAAGTGCTGAACCAATGAGCTACACTCCTAGCCAACTCCCTTTTTTTTTTTCTCATCTCTCCCCTCCCCAACTTCATGGTACTATGGTCCAGCCCCAGCCTTTAGAAAAAAGAAACCACTTTGAGACAGGATGTCACTAAGTTTCTAGCTTGCCTCAGGATGGGATTCAATTTGCAGTCCTCCTGCTTCAGCCTCCTGAGTGCTGGGACTATAGAACACCAGCCCATCTGGCTTTTCACCCTTTCCCCTTTTTGTCTTTTTCCTTTTTATTGGTACCGGGGGTCGAACTCGCGACTGCCTGCTTGCAAGGCAGGTACTTATGCCACTGAGCTACATCCCCAGCCCCCTCACCCTTTCTCTTGAGAGCACTTCATCACTTGCACAAGGCCTTGCTTCGAGGGATCTGTCCATACTCTTATTCCCGACATCTCCATTCCTCAGTCCAAACCCTTTCACAGTGTCCTCTGGTATTCCTGGGCTGACATCAACAAAGTTCCCCTGCTCTCTCCCGTACCTTCAAAGTACTGGTGTTCAAACTGTAATGTGCACCTCTTTTGTTTTTGTGCAGGGTGGTTCCTCATTCTTTCCACCAGCCTCCTCCCCTCTTCTTCCTCATCTGCCCTCCAGCCCATGGGGCAGTTGTTGGCAGTCATGCCTGAAGCAGCTTGGGTCCTTGTTCAAAACGGAGTCCAGATGTTTTTCCTACTAGAATCCCAAACCTGGACATTTTTCCTAGTAGGCTTCCCAAAGCAAATCTTCCCAGGGAAAGGCATGAGCCTGCATTGCCTTACTAGACCATGGCTAGGGAGGACCACCTTTGCTTCATGAAATCCAGGAGTCTTTAGAATAAGAGTTCTGCTTGTTAGGTGAATGTTAGAAATTTCGTGGACTCACGAAAACAGGCCTCAATATAATGTGTTTTGAAACAACTGGGTGTGGCTAAGATAGTCCCATCTAGTAATGCAAAAGAACATGGTGGTGAATAAGCAAAGTAAAATACAGACTTTTAAAAATGTTTGTTTTTATTGTCTAAGTTCTAATTTCCTTCAAGAATGAGATTGCACAGACCACCCTACTTTAAGGAAGAGAGGTGACAAGGGACATCAAGAACATTTATAGTTTGCCCCACTGCCTACAAACCTAAGTGAGTGACAAAACTCTGGGACATATTGGTCACATTATTTAGTTCCTTCCTATTGTTATAAAATGAGGCAGTGGTATCTTACCTGCCAGATTACAGAAGACATTGAGCCAGAGCATTCACCCCTTCAGCAAACAAGTCTGACACTATTTGTTGGGAGAGCTGCTAGGTTCAAGGATCTGGGGGCTCTGTGCTTACCCTGAGAGGCAAGCACTGTCTCGACAACCATCGTGGCTCCTGGTTCTTGTTTCTGGGGAAGGATGGGAGTCAAAAGAAAGCTGGCTGGTTATGGTGTCACTTCTGGTAGGGAGATGCCACAAGGACAGGCATGGGGACTGGTCTTGCCTCTGGCTGCAGACACAGGAAGAGCAATGCAAAGACCTTTGGTGAAGCTCTTTTCCTTTGCCCCCCCCCCCTCCTGTACATAGTTTAAACTCTACACACTGGGACATTCAAGACTGGAGTCACCAGAAAAAAGAAGTTGCTGTTTGGGGGATGGCAGATGATCAAGAGTTCAGACAGCTGCGATGAAGGATTAGTTGTGGTTTTTTCTCAGTACCTGGTTACAAACTGTATTGCAGTTCCATGTTCAAACACTATTAAATGAGAGTGTTTTCTTTGGCACTGATCCACCTTTTCCCCACAGTTTAAGTATTGAAATTTAAAAAAAAAAAAAAACAAAAAACTGAAGTAGCTTCAGCTTACAGTTCACATTTAAAACTTAAAAATGTGATTTCCATGAATGTTGGCAGAAGCCAGCCACTGTTTATTCTACCAGCAGTCCTAAGAAACCCTTTACCACTGACAATCTAACAAACCATTTTCTGTTTGCCACTGTTAGGTTCAATAAAATTTTTGTGCTCTTAAAATTCCCTTAATAAGAACTCCTAAGAGCACACATTTCCTTCCTAAGGTGGCCGATGTGGTCACCATTCCCAATACCTCTCCTTCTGGACCCCAGGGCTGAGTCCTGCAGCTTAGCAGCAGCCATGGAAATCTCGAAACTCAAAGCTATTTGTGTGTTGAACCTGCTGGTCTGGGCTACCCTTCAACCCTTCAGTCCTTCTATCATCTGTGAATATGTCTAACCAAAAAACTCGGCCCCTCACTGCTCCTGTCAAATCTGCACCAGCAGGGGTGTGGGTTGGCCTCGGACCCTGCACCTTCTGCATGGACTGCAAGTGGCACTGGGCCTGGAGATACCTGCCACGGTGCTTGCCTAACCAAACAGGGCAACCATTGTGCTCCGTGCTGGCGTGGCAGAGGACAAGTGTGGCCTCTTAAGAGTAGACTGGAAACTCCTACAAAGCTTACAGACGTGTTTGCTTTCTCAAAGGACAGGCCAAACTGATGCTGAACCTGTGGCATGTTGATCCAGAATTCTTCCAGGCTCTTTCAAGAAACACGCTCAGGCAGGTGTTGGGCTGAGGTCATTGAGTGAGTCCTCAACACTGGGGCTTTGTGGTAGGTTTTGAGGGAGCAGCCTACTCCCCCTCCCCCAAAATTGGTTTAATTTCCTTTGAATTAAAAAAAAAAGTAGTAACTCAGCCTTAAAGCCAAGCACCGTTAATGCTGACCATACTGTTACTAGGCTGTCTTCTCTCAGGGGATATACTGGAGTGGGATAAAGACCCAATGAAAGGGGGCCAACTTCAGAGAGCTAATAAGGATCCACACATGTACCAACTTAGTAACAGACACACACCAACTCAGCCCCTGCCTAGGACATTGCTTATGGAAAGGCTGCCCAGGCTCCCAGGAAGAGGAGCAAGGGCAGCTGTGCAGGGCTGTGGAGGAGTGAGTAGGAGCCCGCCAGACTGGGTCCCTGTGGGGGAGCTCCTTTCATGCTCCCCTGCAGCCAGGAGCTCAGCAGTGTTGGCTATGCTCTCTGCACAGTAAGGGGTCCACTTTCTGGGTCCCTACTCCATTACAGTCCTGCCGGAAGACCCTCTTCCTCAGTGACATAAGAGTTTTCTCTGGTGGAGCAGGGGGTGGGGCACAGAAGGCAATGGGAACCACTCCATGGTTAATAGCCATCTTCCCCAGCAGGAGCCCACAAAAAGCCAAACTGTCACTGGGCATCACCACTGAAAGGGTGCTGTGGCCACAAGAGTGCTCATTAAAACACACCCACTGTTTTGTCTGAATATCCCCAAGGGTACAGATAGTCTGCTGTCCTGGACTGCTTCAGACAAAGACAGAAGCGGGAGGACCACTGCTCGGGCTGGAACCTAAAGAACCTGCCACAGGTTCTCATGTGGGGGAAACAGGAAGTGCTCTCAGGTGGATGAGGGACAAGAGGAAAGTCAGGGAAGTGTTGGGCAGACAGACAGACAGGAGGGTGCTCCCACGTTCCCAGAGGTTGGAATTGATTTGATCCTCAGTAACAGACACAAACACACATGTGCACGCGCACACATTCAAGGCAGACTCTCTCTGACTTTCATTTCCAACTTTGAGACACACAGCCGAGCACTGTTCTCAGCTGAGATTGGTCAACCTCTGTAGGTTTTCCAGAGTGTTACGTAAAAGCCATGCTTCTGTATTCTACACATCTACCTAGCTCATTTTCAGCGCACGTAACAAGCGGTACAGGTCAGACCAGATGAAGACCATCAGGAGGCCTTTGTCTTCTGCCATCTTTCCTGCACGAGAGAAAAGAGACTAACATCTGAGCAGCAGAGAGACCACAGAAGGTTTTCACAATCGGCATCCTTTAGGAGTGTTTTTCTTATTTTAAAAAATAATACTGATTTTTCTGGGGGAAAAAACAACAAACCATGGAAGACTATCCTCCCAACCAAAATGGTGAGAAAGGCACCTGTGAACGTGGGGAAGATGCACATGGACACGAGGCAGGTGGAGTAAACGCAGGATAACAGATATGAACGTAGGGGAGACAGATGTAAAATTGGGGAAGGTAGGAAGACAGGTCTGAACACGGGGAGGCAGGTGTGAGGGTGGGCAAGATGGATGGAAGGTGGCATAGACGGAGGGTGGGGGTGCTCACCCCATCACATGTAGTCAGGGGTGGGGGCTTCCCTTTCACTGCGCAGAGCCAAGGGAAGGCTCTGAGGTATCAGCACCTGGGATACTGGGAAAGGAGAGCAAAGAATCTGTTTCCTGAACATCAAGGTGAAGGCTCATTGGTTGCTGTGGATTAGCCAGTTTCCTCCAGTTCCAAGAGGTCATCCACGAATTCTATCACCTCCCCCTGGAAAAGACAACAGGACAGCTCTGTTAGAGAGGCTGTCTGACTTTAAAAGTGCCAGTGGGCAGAGACAGGAGGCCACCTTTAGCTTTCTCCTTGGGCCAAAGCTGGTGTCTTTACTGGCCTGAATGTAGCCCAGAGACCTGATTTGTCTCTTCCAATGGAGAGGACCTAGCTTCCACTCCCTGTGAACTCCATGTCAGATGACCTGTGTGAAGGGGACAGTCCAGCTACCCTTTGGAAGGCCCAACTTAAAGGCCCTTCCCCACCCCCTCCCTATTGGCAGCTTTCCCATAAAGTCACTATCAGCCTCCTTTCTGCCACGACCACCACATCACATTTCTCAGACCACAGCCACCAACCCCATTGCTACTGGTCAGCATCCCTTCTCTTGGGTATCAGCCCCCACCCCACCCCAAGGACCTCTACGACCTTATCAGGCTCTGCCTCAAGGGCCTGTGCATCACTTCCTGGTTTACACAGCACTTCCACATACAACACAGTGTTTTAGGCGCAACCCTGAGAGGCTCAGTTTTATTGCTATTTTATAGATAAAAAATTGAGACTCAGTTCCTTAATCCCAGTGATGGGTTTATCTCATATAAATCTGTACACAGAAAACTTCTCTGACACAGCCTTATTCAGAAGTGTTTCACATGATACTGGGATAGCAGGAAGAGCAGATCTGTGAACTCCCCATCCATAACGTGAGGGTCAGAGCAGAGTGGGCTCAGATCTCAATCTCAATCTCTCTCTCTCTCTCTCTCTCTCTCTCTCTCTCTCTCTCTCATATTCCTACATTTTGAGACAGGGTCTCACTAAGTCACTAAGTGGCCCAGGATGGACTCAAACTTGCTATCCTCCTGCCTCAGTCTCCCAGTGTGCTGGGATTATAGGCATGATAATCCTGGCTACTCAGAGAGCTCTTCTAAGCACTAATTGTGGCAAATTCCAGTTTTAGAGACATTTTTTAGTTTGTTCTGAGTGCATTTCTATATCACACTCCTAATGGTGGCTTTTCTGTGGCTCCAGCTGTCCCCAAACAAAATGACTACTCTATGATCAACTAAAACTTATCAAAATGAGTTGGCTAAAATGTGATTTTTTAAAACTCTTTTTATCTTTTTGATAAGGTCTCATTATGCAGTTCAGGCTTGCCTTGAGCTCACTCTGTAGCCCAGGCTAGTCTCAATTTGCAACTGTCCTCTTGCTGCAGCCTCCAGAGTGCTGGGACTAAAGATGTGCGCCACCATGCCCAGATTAAACAGGATTAATCAAGAGATCTCAAGGAATTCCAGAGAATGATAAAATGCTTACCCTAAAAATGTAATTTATCAAAGAAAAAGAAATAATTATGGTCTGCGAGAAAAATTAGGATTGGGAGTTTCTAAATCACCTCATCATTTTTATTAAGAAGAATTCAGCTTGATGGCTGGGTGACTCTAGTGGACCCCTATAGCTCTGCCCCATTCAGACTTCACCATCAGGAAATGGACCACTCAGGCCCAGCTGTCCGAGAAAGCTGTGCTTTTCCACACCAGGGTGTGACTGCCATCAAAACATTCATAGCAACTATCTTCTCAAGGGCCCCTTCTGTCACTCATTTCAGGAACAACTCAGCGTTCCAGTGATTCCAGAAAAGATATGAGTAATACTTTCTCTCTCAGCCAGATGTGTGCTAAGCATGAAAACTTACCTCGTCATCATCCATTATATTTTCCTTAGCAAAGTCATACAGCTCCTTCTGGAGTGTAGTCACATTGAAGAACTGTACTGCTTCCTGTTCAGACAGAAATGGAAAATGGCTCATGTGACCAACTGTTTCATCATGTTGGCCATATGAAGAAGGCTAATAAGATATGGGATTTCTTTCTGGAATGATGAAAATGCTTAAAATACAATGGTACTGGCTGCACAGCTCTGAATATATTAGCATCTACTGAATTGGCACTTTAAGAAGGTATATGGTTAATGGATTATATTACAATAAAAAAAGTATGGCCCAACCCTACATACCTGAAGAAGATTTTGTGTAAATCTATGCATATGTGTATTAGCTGGGGAGGTGAGAAGAAAGATGTATATAGTACAACCAGGAGAGCATATAGAAAACCCACTGAAAATACAAAGATCAATTAGAAAAGAGCTTTTGAAAGTGACATTAATGAAGCTCCCTGACAATATGCTCAAACTTTGAGTTTGTCCACCATTAGTATTAAATGATGATCCATCCACACAAAAGCCTACCATGGTCCTATTGAAAAATAACAAAACAGTAGGTCATGGACAGCATGGAAAAATATTTGCACTGAATTGCTAGAAGGACAAAGCAAGTTGCAAAACAATATTACGTATGATCCTGTTTTTACAAAATAATCAAATGCAGCTGAGTAGGCAAACAAAGATAAAGGAGTTCAAGAGAAAGTATAGGTTATTAGAGAAATATACTTTCTAAGTAAAATATTTCTGTAATGTTTAATATTTGTAAAGTATTTGTGGATTCAGAAATCAAAATAAAACAGCAAAGTATTAAGATAAGAAAACTTACAAAAACCAACAAGAGTCCCCTGAGGAGCAAGAAGAAAAGTGGGGAAGGCAAAGTGTGGGACTCACTGGTCTGGGCTGGAAATGCTCGTCGGAGAGGCCCCACTTGTCTCTGTGGTACTGATAGTACACCAGGTTCTGCTGCATGACCTTGTCATTCTGGTCAAAGAGCAGGTAGCTGACTGCACAGGGCGCTGCATCCTTCAGGTCACTCACTGGGTGCAGGAGAGAGGCAGACAGAGAAATCAGCAAGCCACACCCTGCCAAACCCTGCCACCCTTCCCAGCAGCCGCCTTTCCCAGAGGCCCAGCTTCCCAAAGAAAAAGGTCACAAGTACCACCTCTAGATGTCTTGCAATCACCTGCTCATGGGGTGATTCTCTGCGGCTTTGAAGTATAGAAGTTTCTTGTTAGGCAAATGCCTTGACAGACATGTCTCTGTACCATCTCAGGACCTGGTGACCCAACATGGTCTCCAGACCCTGGCACCTCCTGGAGAAGGTGGATCCCAAGGTCTGGACTGTCCTGAGGCTGAGGGAAATAGGATGTCCCCAAATAAGCTCAACTGGGGTCTATGGTTCCTGAGTCCTCTCTGGTATGACCATAACCTCTAGACACAGGTGAAGCCTTTTCCGATTAAACCAGATGTGGAAGACATAAAGGATGGGGACTACCAGACTGGAAAAGATTCAATAAGGTCCTCCCCAACTCCAGCCTCCTACTTAATATTGCCTGGTCCACACCACCTTTAGCATAGGGATTTTACTGGGGTTGGGATTTGTCTTGGAGCTGAGTGGAGGGGAACAAGGGAAGAAAGCCTGGAATAGCCCCCTGGGTATTTATTCTGGCACATTCTACTCCAATTTACAACAAAGGAACCCCGTTTCTGCCAAAGTTGTGATTGGCAGGAGAAACCAGAGCTTATGAATGAATAAATTGTGCCACCCAGCGACTACTTCCTGTAATGACAACTTTGAAACTCTCCTTAGGGGACACATTCACAAGGCCTGCATGGCTGCAGAGTTTGAACATAAATTGGTTTTTTTTGTTTGTTTGTGGTTTTTTTTGTCTTTTTCCTTTTTTTTATCGGTACCAGGGATCGAACTCATGACTGCCTGCTTGCAAGGCAGGCACTTATGCCGCTGAGCTAAACCCCCAGCCCCTTGAATATAAATTGTAACATCCGCTCAAGAAATATGGCGTGATAGGAAGTCTAAAAAGAGTTTAAAACAGGGAAGACTCATGGAGACTAATTTCAGGAAAGAAATTTTACTTATATTGTTTACTCATAACCCCAGAAAGCAGAAACTTCTGGGGAGTAGCACACAATGTTAGGAGGCTTTGGCCTACCAGTGTATACAAGTCTCTGCCAGTTTCCAACAGTCAGGATGACTGCCTCAGCATGTGAGCACCAGGAGCATAGAAAAAAAGAGGGAAACCTTCAATGAAGAATATAAAAAAAAATTTAGAATACATGAAACAGATTCAAAGAGATTACCAGGGAATTAAAACCTCCATTGAAGGTTGACAAAACTGCTTGAAAGAAACTAAAGATAGACTATCAAACCTTGAAGACAGGTCTGCAGCTTGTAATTGTGAAAGGAAAGAGCTCTTAAAAATGACAAGGAACCAGGAAGTAGCAAAACAAAGGCTCCAAGACAACAAGAGGAAGTATAACTTAAGAATAAAAAATGTGAGTGAAGAAGCAGGGGTAAACACAAATGAAATACAAAGGCTAGTTACAGAAATAATTAAAGAAAACTTCCTAAGCATGGGAAAAGAAATGATATTCAGCTAAATAAGGCATACAGAACTCCAGCCAGCTATACACAAAAAGATCTACACCCAGACATATAATAATCAAGATCCCAGAAATTCAACACAAGAACAGAATATTAAAAGCTGTCAGAGAAAAGAAACAGACCACCTATAAAGGAAAACCCATTAGAATCATGACAAACTTCTTGACACAAACCATCAAATCAAGAAGAGATTGGAGTAAAGTATTCCAAGTCCAGGAAGAAAATAACCTCCAACCTAGATTGATGTACCCTGAAAAATCATCTTTCAAATTAATGGAGAAACAAGATGCTTCCATGACAAAGAGGACCTGGGGGAGTTCAGGACTACTAAACCAACCCTATAAAAAATACTGAAGGACATTCTAGAGAGAGAGAAAAAAGATCATGGCTTCAGGAACAGTGGCAGAGGGGGCTCACTGAACGGGGCAGACTGTGGAATGAAGGGGAAAAGTAGATAAACAATTACAGACAAATAGCATGTCAGAGATGAGACAGGGAAGGTTGGCCATAATCACTAATATATATGGCCTCAATTCACCAATAAAAAGAAACAAAGGCAGAGTGGATCAGGAGATTGGGTTCATCAATATGCTTTATAAGAAATACATTTAACCCGAAAGGGAGTTTTCAAAGATGAAAAAACAATATTCCATGTGACAGGGAATCAGAAAAAAGTAGGAGTAGCTCACCCATCAGCTGCAGATTAATTAGAAAGCCATGACACTTTTATATAGTGGAAAACTATTCTTTCAAAAAGAAAGAAAACCTTGAGGCTCTTATAGGTAAATGGTTACAACTTGAGATCATACTTTGTGGGGGATGAGGTGTCACTTTGTAGGCCCAACCCCCTCTAACCTGCAATTTACAATAGCCGCCCTGGTATGCGAGAAGGAGGTAGAATAGGAATGCCTGTTCTCAGTGAGCCCCTCACCCTCTGGAATCCATACTGTGAGCTGGCTTTGTTTTGCAGAAGTCTTGAGGAAGTGGCTGGCCACCCTTTGTGACACTAACAGCAGACAAATTAACAACATTCTTGAGCTAATAAATTTCTTCCTGGGCTAGAGAAGTTATGAGAACTGGTTGTGATTATTTACTTCACTTAGATAGCTTTAGAATAAACATTGTAGTCTGTCACGTTGTAGCTTGCCACAAAGAATGCCTTTTCACTACTTAATTATCTGGGCTCTGTGAACTGATCGGGTTTACTATATATGAATCCTAAAATAAAGATTGTGCGTGCAGTGCAGTGTAACGCGGTGCAGACAGTAAAGGTGTCTCTCCTGTCTTTCTTTTCCGAGCACTGTACCCCCCGTGTCCCGATCAGGCGTGTGTGCGTGTTTACCTTGCCCGGAGTTCAGAGTGCTCTAAGACACTCACGACAAGTGGCGCCCGAACAGGGACTCCGAAGGTCGCTTAGGAAGGTAAGTATAATTTTATTACGGGGAAATGGGACAATCTGCTTCTTCTCCTTTCTTAAAAATTCTTAAACATTTATTATCTATATATGGCATATCGCTCAGGTCAGCTGACTTGGATATGTGTATTGATACAATTAAAGAATATAATCCTTGGTTTCCAGATGAAGGAACTTTGGATGTAGAAGTATGGAGGAAGGCAAGGGTTAGTATAGAAAGGGCTATGCAACAGGAGGAGAAGATTCCTTTACGTTTTTGGGCTATTTGGTCGGTTGTGTACTCTTTATTAAAAGCTATGGAAGATGAACATATTGTAGAAAATCTTCAACTAGAAATTAAGCCAGTTATTCAGGAATTGCCCCTCACAGAGGAGGAGCAGAATGTAGTTCAAAATGACGCTATCGCTTTAAGTAGTGAAAAGGCGTCCAAACTAAAAGTAAAATCCACTACAGCCGACTCAGCTTTAGCTGCCGCAGCAATATCAAATTATGACAATCGCCCAGTTTTACAGGCTATACAGCATTTAACCCAAGAGGTGAAACAACTCTCCGTTAAGCAGAACCCGCCTGTAGTTCCCTCTGCACCTCCTCCATCTAACCCTAATTGGAGTAAAGCCAAGCTAGCTTTGGCTGATCTACCAAAATTAGGGGATTCTGATGAGGAAAAGCCTGCCTTTGCTTTCCCTGTAATCAGGCCACAGCCAATAGATGGAGAGGCAGTTCCCCCTAGATGGGAAGCATTTAATATGGATGATTTAGCAAAATTAAAAAAGGCTGTAACCCTTTATGGCCCTCAGGCTCATTACACTAGAGAATTAATAACATCAGTAGCAGATCAGTATGGTAATCTTGCTCCTTATGATTGGAAAGCCTTGGCCAAAATTCTTTTAAAGGAGCCAGAATATTTACAGTGGCACATGTGGTTTATGGAAGGTTGTGCGAAAAAGGCAAGACAAAAATGCTGATATAGTGATAGAAATGTTTTAAAAGATATTTTAAAAACTTTACCTCAATATTTTTCTCCGTTTGGACTTGTAATAGCACAGGATAAAATTCAAAAGGAAGAAGTTAGTCATTATTTGGGATATATTCTTACTAGACAAAAGGTGATTCCACAAAAAATGTCTATTAGGAGAGATAAGTTATCCACTTTAAATGATTTTCAAAAATTATTAGGGGATATTAATTGGCTTCGTCCCACACTAGGTATCCCTACCCATGCATTGCAACATTTGTTTGCTACTCTACAGGGCTCTTCAGATCCATCCAGCCCTCGTTCTTTAACAGCAAAAGCAGAGCAAGAATTACAGTTTGTAAAACAACGAATTAAGGATGCATTTTTAATTAGGATTGATCCTAAATTGCCTCTAACTTTATATATTATTAATACTTTTCAATATCCCTCTGCAGTTTTAGGTCAAAATGCTATGCCAGTAGAATGGGTATTCACTAAAACTAAACAATCTAAAAATGTTATGCCTTATATTGACATGGTTGCAGCTTTAATTATAAATGGTAGAGCTCGTTCTATAACTTTGATAGGAGAAGATATAAACAATATAGTTATCCCTTTAACTAAGGAACAATGGAAATATTTGTTGTCAATTACTAAAACCTTACAAATTGCTTTAGCAGATTTCATGGGAACTTTTTCATATCATTTTCCTAAAAGTAAATTATGGGATTTTTTTAGACGTCAACAATTTGTGGTTAATACCTTATTAGCTGTACAGCCAATTCCACAAGCTTTGACTATATTTACAGATGGATCTAAAAATAAAGCTGCATATTGGACTCAAAAATCTTACTGGGTACGTCAGACAAATTTTAACTCTGTACAACAAAATGAACTTTTTGCTATATTGCAAGTGTTTTTAGATTTTCATAACCAACCTATTAATATTATAGCCGATTCGGCCTATTCTGTTGGAGTAGTGACAAATATCTATTCAGCTGTGTTATATTCTAATAAGCCTGCTTTATTGTCTTTATTTCAAAAT